CTCCCACAGACGTTCGCCTGTGCACTTACATGTAAGCCTCTCATTCTCCAGTCTTTTAAGTTATCCTCTTTCCTGCCTCTCCAGTCCCATGCTCCTGCCCAACTCCCGTCTTCCTTCTGTGCTTTCCCTTGCAGCTTCTTCATTACGACTTTCTCGTCCCCATTCGCATCCAGTGACTCTTCGGTCGCTCTGCTCTAGACCGTTGTTATCTTAGCCTTACGCGCGATGTCTGCAAGGCTATACCTTCAAAAGCTATAGGCTCGGTAAAAGAACACGGGATACGTACCAGTACGCTTTTGGGTGCGAATGAATCAGGAACCTTTTTTCTTGGAACAGTCAAAACACACAAAAACAAAGCGACGACTTTGTTTTTGTCGTTTCCCTTTTTCTAGAAATAGTATGTCATTTTCGAGGAACAGTGAGCAGAGTGAAAAGGACTACCCTTTAAGCCATCATTACATATCATTCCCTCGATAAAGCATTCGCTTTCGGTTGTTTTGCAAAACTATGAACCACATAGTAAAATTAAAAGGGGAGAACCGACACCCATAATCTCCCCTTGAATGCCTCATTCAAGGGGAGATTATGGGTGTCGATTAAAATTCTATTCATTTCTACTAATTTTTTTAATCGCGATTAATATTTTAATCGATTAACTGGTCGATTAATCTAATCGAATTGACAGCTCTAGTTATAAAAATTCAGATAGGGATTGATTGTAGAGCACAGAACAAAGAGGAACTGCGCGATACCGCTGCAGATCTGCTGCCCTATTCGATTCTATGGGCGCGGGTCCTTTCAGGTCGTGGCCTCCGATACGCTCAATATCGACACCTCCACTGTGTCGCAGCGTTCGACGAGTGTTGCCGGTCCGAACGCGCCGCTTCTGCAATACTCGCCGTTCCGCTTTGGAAGTTTCACACCCACTCGTAAACATCGCTTCTTGCAATTCTCCTCGTAAAGTGCCCCGAGTCTGCGATGAACCATTGCCATCTTCGACCAAAAAAGAGCAGATCACAAAACGCAACACTACCTTGGTACAATCAAGACCCAAAGACGCCATTTTTCGTAACTGAAGGAGGCACACGAGACGGCAACAAAACCAAAGACCACCATGTTCATGGTGCTGATATTCTAACAAGTTGTACCATGTGGGAATTATTTTGCTCGTTATGCTTCCTTCGTTACTGCGCAGATGTCCTGTTACTTTTTGACTCACTCTCGTACTTTTGTAGGCGTTGAATAGAAAAAAAAATCAATTTTCGAAAGTTGCCGGAAGCGAACAATTTTTTTGCGGATCCCTTATGTACATTATCAGAAAGAAGAGCTAATGTGAGTTAGCTAACGTAACTTAATAAATTTTCAAATGCAATGCCTCACTTTAGACCGTATTGGTTAGACTTACATTGTTCCTGAACCCTTGGACTTTCCCTCGTGTGGGTCTAGTGTCAAGGACATTGCTGACTCGAGAAAAGTCGACAATCGATCGAGATCTGAAGAATTGTCGCAGCTATTCAGAGCCACGAATATTGCCCGTGTGGGATTGCAATAACAGCTTTTAAAATGTTTGAGTTGCAGTTGAGTTTTACGCGTAATTTAGAGAGATACTCATTTTTAAAATGTTTCTATACCTTTTGGGACACTCAGTATTTGTCTGCGCAAGATGATATTTTCTGGTATTTTCACCTCAGGATCCACATGAGCGCACTTTCGCGAATTGCCTTACTTCCTCTCATGATCTCAGATTTGCACTGGATCTAAATTAAGACATTTAACTTGCATTTCTGCGCAAAAAGACATTTTATGCAAATTTCCCACGATGTGCTGCATGACGCTTCAAGGGAGAATCCCGTCGGAAGGGAATGCCAGCAGTGCGAGAGCTGTAGCTTTCACAAAGAAAATTTAACCGATTACTGATACAAACATTACATGTGGTTTATTAAAAAAAAAGTTGATATCTATCCGAATCGAATGGAAATTGGATCGATTCTCTTCCATCGACACAGCGGAAGTGCGAGTGAGGCCTTTCACTTACCACCTCTCATCAACACGTGAAACCAATGCAGCAACAGGAAAGAGTACTTCTCACATTAGTGACCTTGGTTACCGATCTTGCGTGTCTGAGACAGTCAGCTCTCTCCATCAAGGGAGAGAGGAACTTGGGCCGCAGCTCCTGTGCCTCCAACGAAGACACCCAGATGGCATCCAGCGTCTTTTCCTCATCGGTCGGTCTAACGTTCCTGGGATCGTCCAGACGATCTGCGCGAGGTAATGAGCCCCTACTGAGAAACATGGAAATGGATATGGTGGTGGACAGTTACATCCCTGGTAGGTTCCATGGCAGAGATTTTGCCCTAGGCTTAAGCCGTAACAGGTGGGTTTAAGACCAACTTGTGGTCCCATAAGCTTAGGCTTGGCATGGAAGGCCTATGATGGAAGTAGCTCCATGAGCTGTGTCATTGGTAACACTAGATATGCCAGATATATTTTTCAGTGATCTTGAAAACTCTTCAGCTTGGTTCTTGATAGCAGTTTCATAGGAGTGTGTTTTGTGAGATGACTTTAATGTATTTGGGGGATTGTTTGTATTTTGACTAGGCATAGTTTACATTTCATTCAACCATGGAAGTTCTCTGTAAAAGTCAAGTCACGTGTGACAAGTATCATGCATGGACTTGGGCATAAATCTTTCTCCAAGAGCTTTCTCCAATGAATCTTCGGAAGGAGTCCATGCAAAAATCACCATGATGTCTACCTGGACTCCCGCGAAATAAATTACGTTTCTGACAGGGATAAAAATCACCAGAATGCTAGCCCTGGCTCCTCAAAAGCAATGATAAGCCAAGGACGGAAGAAGTACATAACCGTGTCCGATCGAATCAAGAAAATCGTGTCCGAGGACCATCAGCGCGACTTGGATTCATACCTTGGAGGAATCGCACATAATATAGAATATTAGGTCATGTCATATATGTACAGTTTTTGTCATATGTCATTTTTTGTTATGTCAATTTTTCGAATTCGATAATGATAATAAATGAAGCTGTCAATCGATTAAACACTTTAATCGATTAATTGTGAGCCATTTATTGATTAATCGGTCGATTAATGGAACTTTGATCGATCCCTTAGTTTCTCCTTGAATCATGTCCTTGACACTGGTAATGAATCTTTTTGTGTAGTGTCCAACACCAAGGCGAGCCTTATGAAGAGACTCAAGGCGTTGCAGCGGCTAACATAGCAGTTACTATCCAAACGTTCACTATTTTATGCTATAACGGATACATTCCATTCGGAAAGAAAATGGTTACAGCTTAACCAGATAAAAAATGAAACCTAAGGAAAGCAGCGCACTGAGGCCTTACGTCAAGCAAGGAATAGGAAAGGATTTCACACTTGCGTTTCAAACTTCTATTCCCTTTCCCCCGGCTTTCCCCCTCTCTCGTTTTCTTTCCAGGGCTCCCACAGACGTCCGCCGGTGCACTTACATGTAAGCCTCTCATTCTCCAGTCTTTACGTTGTCCTCTTTCCTGTCTCTCCAGTCCAATGCTCCTGCCCAACTCCCGTCTTCCTTCTGTGCTTTCCCTTGCAGCTTCTCCATTACGACTTTCTCGTCCCCATTCGCATCCAGTGACTCTTCGGTCGCTCTGCCCTAGGCCGTTGTTACCATAGCCTTACGCGCGATGCCTGCAAGGCTATGCCTTTAAAGACCGTAGGCTAGGCAGAAGGACATGCGATGCGTACCAGTACGTTTGTGGATGCGAATGGATCAGGAACGTGTGTTCCCCTTTTCTAGAAATGGTATGTCATTTCAAAGAAGAGTGAACAGTGCGAAAACGACTTCGATAAGTCATCATTGGAAATCGTTCCCTCGATAAAGCATTCGTTTTCGGTTGTTTTGCAGACCTATGAACTACATAGTAAAATTAAAAGGGGAGAAGAGGAGATTAGGGGGTCGATTAAAATTATATTAATTTCTTACTAATTTTTTTTATCGCGATTAATATCTTAATGGATTAATTGGTCTATTCATCTAATCGAATTGACATCCCTAGTTATTAAAATTTAGATATGGATTGATTGTAGAGCACAGAACAAAGAGGAGCTGCGCGATACCGCCACCGCAGCAGATCAGCTGCGCTCTTCGGTTCGATGGGCGCGGGTCCTTACAGGTCGTGGCCTCGGAAACGCTCAATATCGACTCGGCCGCTGGGTGTCGCAGCGTTCGACGTGTGTTGCCGGCCCGAATGCGCCGCTTCTGCAACACCCGACGTTTCGCACCCACTAGTGAATATCGCTTCTTGCACTGGAGTTCTCTTCGTATAGTGCCCTGAGTCTGCGATGACCTCATTCCCATTTCTTCCATCTGCGACCAAAAAAGAGCAGATCGCGAAACGCAACTCTACCTTGGTACAATCAAGACCCAAAGACGCCACTTTTCGTTGCTGAAGGAGGCACACAAGACGGCAGCAAAGCCAAAGATCACCGTTTTCATGGCGCTGATATTCTAACAAGTAGTACTATGTGCGAATTATTTAGCTTGTTATACTTCCTACGTTACAGCGTAGATGTCCTGTTACTGTTTGACTCACTCTCGTACTTTTGTAGGCATTGAATAGAAAGAAATTATATATTCGAAAGTTGCCGAAGCGATCGACATTTTTGCCGATCCCTGACGTACATTATCGGAGTTGCTCGTGCACGTTAGAAAGCGTTTAAGTGTGTTAGCCACACATAGACAATGAATTCACCGTGAAACCAATGCAACAACACGAACGTGTGCTTCTCGTATTAGTGACCTTGGTTACCGATCTTGCGTTTCTGAGGCGGTCAGTTCTCTCCATCAAGGGAGAGGAACTTCGGGCGGCAGCGCCAGTGCCTCCAGCGAAGGCACCCAGATGGCACCTGACGTCTTTTCCTCATCGGGTCGGGCTAACGTTCCTGGGATCGTCTAGACGAACTGCGCGAGGTTATCAGCCCCTACTGAGAAACATATGTAAATGGATACGGTGGACAAGTACTTCCCTGGTGGGTTCCATGGCTATAGGTTTTGTCCTAGGATTAAGCCGTAACAGGTGGTTTAAGACCAACTTGTGGTCCCATGTGCTTAGGCTTGGCAAAGAAGGCCTATGATGGATGTAGCTCCATTAGCTGTGTCATTGGTAACACTAGATATGCCAGATATATTTGTCAGTGGGTCTAGAAAACTCTTCAGCTTTGTTCACGTAGCAATCACGTAGGAGTGTGTTTTGTGAGATGACTTTAATATGTTTGGGGGATAGCTTGTATCTGATACCTTTCACTTATTTATTTATCGAATGCCTATACCTTTCACTTGGCATAATTTACATTTCATTCAACCCTGGAAGTTCCTGAAAAAGTCAGGTCTCATGTGTGAGAAGGATCATGCATGCACTTTGGTATAAATCTTTCTCCAAGAGCTTCTTGTGGCCTTCCAGGGATAGATAGGTTCTTCCCGTAGGCCAGCACAAGACAGTTTGAGAAAGAACAGACTTGCATCAGCATCTTGAGTTCTACAGCTGATGAATAGAATAATGCTTTTATTTGCATTTGCTTTCCTCATCTCTCCACTTAGAGGCATTTTTCATTACCTAGTGTGCAGGGCCTTTAAAAAGATTGCATTGAAAGCATGATATCTTTTCATGAGTAGATTCAATGTTCAGCATGCTGTTAAGACTCCTCAGATGATGTTTGTGCATGCATCTTTAGGTTTAGAAAAATACAAATACTTGACGAACCATTGTGACATGCAGATTGATTAGAAGCAGTGTTCCTGTTCTATTCTTGGGGTGCATTTAATCAAATCACCTAATGGCTAGGATGGAATCATCATATGTTGGTCTGAAAGCTGCAGATCTGCTTATCCTCATATCCACCTTACTATCTAATGCATAGTATTTAGGGTGTCCCAAAATTATTGAATGGGATAATTAAAAAAATTTTTGCTTCAAATTCCACTTCTAGTCCATGTTAGTCAAAGACCTGAATTTTTGCCAAATGAAAGCCAAACTCTCAGTTTTTTAATAAATTTATTCAGCATCTGTATTGATGATGTCATTGATGTGACCAAGAAGCAGGGAAAACCTCTGTGTAATGTGACAGGGAGTTTAATTCAGTGATGTGTAAGCAATGTGAGTTTCATAAGGTATTTCATCTGATGATAATCAGCAGATGGCACAAGTAGTTTCAAGACAATGGCAAATGCAACTCGCAATTTGCATGCCTCGCTAGCTCTGGAGGCTTCTTGCAAGTGTCATGACTCTGGTTCACATCATTGAATGATGACCTAGGCCTACTTGCTCCTTCTGCTGAATGATTATTCTAAACTGTTTTAATGTGTCTCATATTCCTTAGGAGAAGAAATAACAGATTCGTTATGAGATGTGCAGGGTGAAGTCTTGTTGAACCACCCAAGATGTATTCTTAGTTTCTTTTATCTCTGACTA